CAAGGTTTGGTAAGAAAACTTTGCTGACACCATAATTATGATCATCAGTGAAATTTGGTGGTACACAATCACAATTATAAGCATAAAAAATTTGAAACCAGGAAATTAACCTTCCTTAATTACTTGCAAGAGCACGCACATGATATTTGCATAAAGCAAACATTTTAACTTGGAAATTTTTGTCAACAACTTAAGTTGCTCAATACTGATAATGTTCTCCGATAAGTGCAAGAGATTTTAAGTTGAGCATGCGGGTGGAATAGGTACTCAGGTAACGTATGCGAGTTGGAAATTTTTCGCGGTTTAATCCATGCTAACAATATATGCATAGTTAATTACAAAGTATGGTTTTTCATTTTAACTAAAAGAAGGATCTTTGTTAGGTAAAAGTCCTTGTACTCTTAGATATGTTTCCCTTCTTTTGATCTGTAAAAATTTTCATATTCGCTAATTCCAATAATGAAAAAATTTAAATATGAAATTTTTTAAAACTTCTATTATCTTATATTAAAATCAACTTAATCTGTACTCCCTTAAAATATATGCAATTTTGTAAGAAGAACAAAATTCCATCAGTCATTTACCAACTAAATATATTTCACCTCCTCAAAGAAGAAATTCTTCCTTCCAGCTGGTGATATTATGCACTAGTTGGCTAATATAGGATCCTGAAAAATCTGAGCAAATTAGGTACAAAACAAGGTAGAACACTTCCTTCATCCAGAACAAAACACACGCTTTCTTGATTTTGCCCTTCAAATACATAATTATCATGGAGGAAAGCTTAAGCGATCAAATCCACACAACTCAAGCAGTAACTAGAGAAATTCAGAAAACCCTTAAAGGAAAAAGGTACGTACATATATATGCACCATACAAGGAACAAACTTGGCCAGGCATATCCATCAAAATTAATTCGTTAAAACATCTAGTAATATCATTCATTTAATTTCTTCTAAGTACCATTTGAAGGGGATGAGCACTCGCAGACTACCTCAGGGTCAACTTCCCTTCTATGGAAGTTGCGGTGACAGCCGCAGGCGGCACATGTGAGTGCTGCGGTAGTTCCCTCCTCCCCACTAGCCATGAACTCCCTGCATCCGTCCACGGCGTATCCTCCCACCCCGGCGGCATGATTCTTCTGGCACTCTGCATATCTTACACTCCTGAACGTGAAAGAAGAAGCAGTGCTATTCCTCAAAGGCTCCTCCGCCGCTTTCCTCAAAACCACCTGGCGCTTCCTCATAGCTTTCACAAACCTCCTAAATTGATCTTTTTGAGCAAAAACTCTACTAGAATTGAAGTGAGAGAGAAATACAGAGAGAAGAAAGATTGGCAAAGCCCTAACCCTAGAGAATATATTTATAGACCTCTCCTAACTTCTAGATGGGTTTTTTTAGGTTAAGTGTAAAATTATTGCATATATTTAACATTAATTAATATTAAAAAATATAAAATTTATTATTAATTTCTCTACCAATGTCATACAAATCATTTTAATTGAGCATTTACTTAAATAAAT